CAAAAATTAACGTAAACCAGTGTGCGATAATTAGCGTTAAGTTATTAACGTGACCAAAACAAACATGGCCAACTGGTTAGTTTAGCAACAACTTGGCGTTAATATAATTTGGACTAAATTTCAGAAATTATAAATTTTAACATTTACCTACATGGTGTAAAAAAAATAATTGTAGGCTAACAGAATTTAAAAACTGGATGAAAACATTTTTTTTTTCGAAAAACCTTGATTATGCCTCATGTATCGGGGTAACTATGTAGCTATTTTGTTTTGTCGAGTATTTACCAGTTTTCTATTTGACTCGGTCTTCTTCGTTAAGGATTTTACCACTGCGCAGATGGCGTGGTTTAACAAAGAACGACCAGTCGAATACGGCCATTATGACTTGCAAGGCTTCCATTTTGTTACGAATGCAGCATGGATTTGTTACCAAACAGGAAGGTAGCTGTAGATTTTCTTTTGGATGCTGCAACAGCTTCAAGCAAGGCTATATAATACTAGCCAAAGTTCTTCATATTTTCTGTCTCTATTCCATGGTGTCCAAATAAAGAATCGGATGTGGAGGCTGCCTTAATTACATGATCTCCTACACTTGCCAGAAATTGAGTTTCAGTCAGAATAAAGTGCGCTGCAAAAAATGGAAAAAAGCGAGTAAATAATATAATTATTATAAAAAAACGATTTAGAATATATGGTAACTCCGAAAAATGACAGACGTGAGGCCATAATGGATTCTACGTTTTGTTCTTTAGTAGAACATTGTCCAAAATGAATAGTCTAAGTCCAAAATGGTGACAAACTGGTGATGTTTAAAGGTTCGAGCTGTTCTCGTAATTGTAGCGTAGGCCTACATGAACACACTGAGAGTTGTGGAGTTTTTAACTTGAAATTCATCTTATGACTGCCGACGATGCTTCTAAGCGATCTCTTATAAAGTCATCATTTTGGACTTGGATTATTCATTCTTGACAATGTTCTAATAAAGAACGAAACATAGAATCAATTATGGCCTCACGTCTGCCACTTTTCGAAGTTACCATACTCATATTCTATTTGCGTATAATCAGTGGATCCTTTGGTTTTTTTAAAAACAGTTTCTTTTTACATTTTAAATGATCTCCATTTGTTTTTGATCTGAATGCATAATAAAAACAATACTGTAATTAACAAATAATTCTTGATGCCCTCTTCCATTGTATGACTTTCGACTTATTGGGCTTTAAAAAAAAATTAAAATTGGTTTTCTATAGTGATTTTTGGTGTTTTACAATTTAGGAAAATGTAATCCAGATTTTAAATTATAAATTTTGATATGTGACTGATTGTTTCTCTTTTTATTGTAGGCTTTGATTGTTAATTGGCATCTTTTTAAATCCTGTGTTATTTAAATTTAAATTGTTAACATTTAATTTAGGTAGATTTTTTATAATCATTTTTAATGTATTATAACATGTTGATATGCCTATTTTAATTTTATAAAGCGCCTTAAACAGTTGTTCATTAAAAATGTGCTATATAAATTATATACAGTACCTGATAAAGGTACCTGTACCACGAAGGTACCAAAACCTGCTAAAAGGAATATAAAGCCACTGACTCTGAAAGTAACTATCTATTACATATAAATTACCAGTATTATTTTTATATTGAATTACAAAATTAACAACAAAATAATTTATTATATATTTAATCAGGGGACACCTACTAAGGGGACAACTTTCCATGAAATGAGGGGAATATATATTTTAACACAGATACTCCTATCAAGGCAAATGCATGCAAAAAAATACGTATTAAGAGGACAATTTCACATTTTTGGTTTGTGTCCCCAAGGGTTACTATTCAGGGACACCCCTATTTTTTTTAAAGGAATAATATATTATTTTATATATATATTTAATCATACAGTATAAATAATTAATAATTCAATATTAGGAAGGCATGCTTATGAACAGTACAATATAACATTACATGTTTACTTATTTATATACTTTGGCATTGGATATTGCCACGTGACACTAGGCAATTCCATTTATAATTCAATCTCTATTGTCAAAAAAACTTATTGAATAATGAATTATTATTAAACTATTTTTTCCAAAAATATATGACTATATCTCTGATCAATGATACAAGAGTTTTCTAATTTTAGATTATGCTGACTTAAATCGTTTTGTAGTAGTTTCAAGAGATTGATCTATGTCTACCAACTCGGCTACGAGCATTACATGTAAGTGAAAACTTAAGTGATTGAATGGCCGGTGAAAATTCAGTGGTTCTCAAGACGTGACCTAACATACGGTATTCCATCCGGATCTATTTATTTGATTTGAAAGTGGTTCAGTATTAGTGATCTCGTATAGTGAAATATTGCTGATAATTTTTGGGTAATGTATGTTTAAGATTTTCCTAAGGTGTTTACGATGACATATGTCAATTTTTTCCAAAAATTTGCACATTGTTGCCCAACTTGAACAATTATACAAAAGAATAGAAAAAAATAAGTGCATCAAAAACTAATATTTTACGTTTTAAAGATGTGTTAGGCCTACTGTTTTTCCACGCTTTTTGGTATTTATTAAATGCAATGTTAGCAAGAGTAATTCTATTTTCAATGTCTTTGTCAGTGTTAATTATTGAACCAAGTAATTTGTGAGTTTTCCATTCAGTTTTTTTTTTCTCATCGTCTATTTGAAAGGTAACAAAATCGGTTTTCTCTTCGTTAACGAAAAGACGCCATTTTTAAAATTCTTCAGTAACTATTGGTAAAGTATTTTTAAGTTCTTCAATGCTACACTCTTTTATTTTATCAAGGATATCAGCATAAATAATTTCGAGAGGTAAGTGATTGCAAGAGATTGGGAGGATGAGGATCGCTTAAAACAGAATGTAATTCAATTAATGCTCCTTCAAAAAGTCGTAATTACGACATACGTATGTCGTAATTTCGACATATTATGTCGAAATTTCGACATAATAAGTCGTAATTACGACATACGTATGTCGAAATTTGGACATATTACGTCGTAATTTCGACATACGAAGTCGTAATTACGACATAAAACTATATATTTCAGTGGCCCTAATAGGCTTTCGTAGGTTACGGTTCATTATTATGAAAATTCTAGCGCCTAGCTAATCCCGCTAGTCTGAACACCTGTCAAAGTTAAGCCGGGCTTAGTGTTGAGCCGGGCTTAACTCAAGCTTGGCTTATCTCCAAGTCTGAACGGTTTCCATAGAATCGCTCACCCTATCGGCGACAGTCGTATTGTGTTTCACAGACGAATCGGGAGAGAGCATATCTCTGCCCACCGTAAATCCCTTTCTATAAATAAATCTCCCAAAATATGTTCCTAATTTACTTCAACCACCACCACTACCAACAGAACTTATTTCGCTCTGCTCCTCAAAAACACACATTAACCCGCCATAACACTTTTTTATTACAAAGAGGGCACTATTTCCACTTTTAGTCTGGGTTTTTGGGAACCCTTTTTAAGAGTTGGCATTTTCAGATTTTCTAACCAGAAATGATTTGGCCAAAATTCGACTGTATACGCCTACTTTTCACTACACATTTTACGTTTTGAACACAGAATCCAAGCAACATAATTATATAGTATTGAAACATGTTATTATTTTACTATTGACACTGTAAAAAAATAACCTGAACCCACCTACTTTCCAACCACCACCAACTGAAAGTTTTACTCTTTTATTGTTCACAACAAAATACATGCAAAGTATTGGTGTTGAAATGAAAACGTTATGCAAATAGCCAAATTATTAAGAAATATGGGGAATTGGTTTTTAGCGTCACATGTGTAAATATAAAGATGCATTAAAAATATTCCCAATCAGTTCCCCAAAATGTGAAGTAGGCTACATATAAAACGCTGTACACACTTACTGCAATTGAATTTGAATACTCATCATACAGCTATAGCATCTGCCTACAGTATACGGTAAACATATTCTTTAAATGGTTCTCATACTGGGGCTGATGCAGGGGCTAGATGTGGGGGGGGGGGGTGCAGGCGGTGCGATCGCATCTCCCCTGCATTAATTGTATTAAGAAAAATAATTACAGTATTGTATTATATTGTTGATATGAAAAGGTATGAGAGTGAAATTTCCAGGCATCCAGAGGTTGAGGTGGTGTGGACTTTCCTGCCACTACTACCGGCAAATCCAATATCTGCCCTAGTCATATCCACAACCCTACTTCGAATCGTCACTAAAATTTAAAAATTTCTTCATTGAACCACGACAATCTATTCTGGAAAGTTTCGTTTAGATCCATTGTTAAGGATAGGATAGGAGTTTGGCTGGGAGTGAGGAGGCCACCTAGGGCCCCCGGTGGGAGTCCAGGGGACGAACCCCCTGGGAGCTCCGGCATCTATAACCATTTATAAGTCGTATCTAATTAATTTTCCTTACAGTCAAAATCTTGATACTGTACTTCAAGATAAATTTGTTGGCTCGGTGCTGGACAACTTCAACAGCCAATATGTTACGGTACCACTCCAAATTTGGGAAGCATATTCCAGATCATTTCTGACAAGTGAAGTATGAAGAGTCTTAGGAAGTTTTTGGTGCATTATAACCTTAATCATACCCAGTTTTTTTGTTGCATTTGGTGATAAGCTTTAAAATATGATCATCCAGCTAACATGTTGGAATTTGGTATATTGAGATATGAACCCCAAGATCTTTTAAAACATTAGCTTTTACAAGAGGAAGACCATTCATTAAATAGTTAAACATTATGGGGTTTTAGAGCAGGCGGTATTTCGAATGATGAAATACCCCTAGAAGGATGATGAAGACCAGGAAAAATGGACATTGTCACAGAATGCATGGTTCATCCTCATAAAATACATGGAGCACCCATCTTCCCTCACACAACTCTCATAAAATGTATGGATATGGGATAACCCTTGCTAAATAGATGACTAGCCTATAAAAACAAACATATGAAGGAAAAATCCAAGAACAAATTAGTTGATGCACACTTTCTTCACTAATAATTTACTGTACAGGTACTGCATATCGTTTATACTTTCAACCACAATTTACATTTCAGATAAAAATGGTTAGCAACCAATAGGTTTCACTCTAAAAGAAGTGACATAAGTGATGAAAATATTGAAATTATCCCTTAAAACCAATTAATATAACTCAATAATAATTTTTTTTTATCTTTAGGTTTCATTCAGGCAAATTGACATACAATAGTGATCAAAATATAATCATCATAAAATGGAGAGTTAACATCATAAAAATATCATAATTGTTCTTACTTAAAATACTAGCCTGGTAAAACTTTGGATTGGTTTGACTTAAGGTTTAAAGCTTCAGCTTAAATAATACACAGCATAATACAATTTTGAAGCTCATTTTTAAAATGAAATGTAACAGATGAGCTGAATACAAACAAATTTAATATGGATAACAGAAAAGATACAAAGGGCATACGAATACTAAATGTTACAATTATTTCATAACTGCATATACTGAACATGAATCATACCGTTATTGGATAAACATTTATCTGTATAATTATATACATATAGGCCTAATTAGGACTATTACAATCTATAACCCATTATTACAACATGAACCATGCCAAAAAACCCAAGTAATTAACTGAATAATAATAAACCAAGGCTGTTTGCCCAGGCCTGCACTATTATAGACCATTTTATCGGGTTTGTTTTGAAACAGCGCCACTAACGTTTCGCAACTCACTGGGAAACTTCCAGCAGCCTAGTTTAGCCTGAGCAACTAGCAGCCTAGCTTAACCTGAGCAACTAGCTAGTTTAAAATACACTGATCTCTACTATAATAGCTGGATTGCTCATCGGCCAATCCTTGCACAGAAAAGAGTAAGGCCACGGACGCCATGTTGGAGGGCCTACAAGTTTACACAAGTTTCTTTTGGTACAGTATTTCTTTGAACTACTGTTAAAAATTATGATTCTTGCAATACTTTTTCAATAATAAATTTAAATTTAAGTAAGGATTTTTTCAAATCATCTAACCACTTGATGCGACTGTTTATGCAGTTTACAAAAGCACGAGCGAAGTCGCATTGTTATAGTGACGTTGATTACTAACAACATAATAATTTCGCTTCGCAGTCTTTAAACTGCATCTACAGTCACGTCAAGTGGTTAGATGTTTTGAAAAATAATCACTATGTTAAATTTATTATTAAGTATTGCAAAAATCGTTATTTTTAACAATAATTTAAACCAACGCCAAAAGAAACTGATACGTCACATAGGCCCTCCTACATGGCGTCGGTGGCCTCACTAAAACCAGGCAATGAGCAGTCCAGCTATTACAGTAAAGATCAGTGGTCAAATAGAGCGCCACACACACACACTAGTAACTACGTAGCATGAAATGCGTAGCCTCTGGAAATCCCCAGTCAGTGGCAGTTGCCAGGTTATCAGAAATTTTCATTTCAAATTTTGCGAAAATGGTCTATAGTTTTACAAAGTTCATTGAATTGATTGATTTCATTTATTGGCCTGACTGAATTTATGGAGGGTTGTGGACAATCTGGCTTGCTGCTCATCTAGGAATTATTAAAAGGGCAACAAAAAATTCGACATTCAAAAAGCCATTTCGAATATACATAAAGATTTTGAAAAAAAAAAAAAAAAAAAGGAAAGTTTCTTTAAAGGGTATTACCTACGGAGTAACTCAGCGAGTCTTCCTGCCTTATTGTTCTATGGTACTCCCTTCAAAGCACATGTGAGAACCACCTCTCTCTATCAGCACCCTTCCCCAACCCAATCATCAACAGGGCAGTAATATTATTTCAGTCATATGCAGATTATCCAAGCTACGATATAGAATGGAATGTAAAAACAAGTGAAAATTCATAATACTTATACAGTAGATCACCTAATAATTCTAAATACTAATAATTAATATTAATTTAAACAATACAACAATTAACAAGATGAAAATGGGGAAATCCATATTATAAATCATTTAAAAGGCATTTAAACAACCACCATGGTGGCTTATTAGACGACAATGCATTTACACAGAATAGAAACTTTCAAACGTTCGAAGGCATTACATTTTAAGCGTCCTAATTCACTATATATAACACAAGCATTTTTTATTATCTTGTGATTTTGGCAACTTTAGTAATATATTTTAATGACATCATTTAATAGCAAATTTATTTAATTTAGCATTGCAGTATAATTGCAGGAAAAATAATATGCTCATATGTATACATATTTCAGAATAGAGAACATTAAAATGAACAGGAGGGACATGTGCAAATCATTTCATGATTTTGGCATCATGAACTATTAGGTCCAAATAGCCTGTGCCTGTGGCGCCATCATATTTTTTAGGTTATGTGTCATTGACTAATCTTTGTTATCAAACTCTCCATTGTTTAAACATGCTGGCTAACATGTACTACCATATATACATCTAAAAAGCAACAATTTCAATAAATAGTAACCACATCAATCAGAATATCAGCTGCAATACAAAATGGAATGTAAAACTAAGAAAGCACCCTCTATACTTTGACTAACTAATGTAAATTTTCAATATTTATACTAATTTCCCAACAATTCACCAAAAAATTAGAATACAAACCTACTCCAATTACTGTTTTACAGTGGATCATTAATTAAGAAACAAATTTATTTTAAAATTTTAAAATGCACAAATTCCGCTTTTTAAGCATCACAATTTAAACAACTACTCTTTCTTTTGTTTTCTTCTGATTTTTTCACATAACATAAATGTTTCAATGACATGATTAAATCAACATTGCAAAGTAATTTATCAAAAACAGATTCAATTATTATTTCAATAGTAAGTGCCCACGAAAATATTTGTACCGAAATAGCATTTGCAGTACTGTTGGAAATGGAATTTAACACTAGTTACTAAGCGCAGCCAAGCATTTGGGAATTTACTGAGTATACATTACAATAACACGTCAGGTAGGGTAAAACATCACTCCTATGACATTCTCCTAGGCAAACTCACATTGAAATAATATAAAAACAACAATAATAAAAACCCATAATAATAATAACAATAAAAACCAATAATAATAATAATAACAACAATAATAATAAAAACCAATAATAATAATAATAACCATATCAACCTCAGCAGTTTTGAAATTTTCTCTCCACAAACTACATCATCATACCCAAATTTTGTCCTTATAAGTATGTGGATACATAATCTCCTTTTGCGTAATATACATACAAGTAGGCATAAATAAATCAAATAATAAAATGACAGACACAAAAGAGCAGAATCATATGACCGGACTCTGATTAGTGATAAAGTTTTCTTCCATTAATGGAAAAAGAAGGGCCCGTGTGCGTCTGGATATACTTAGAAACAGAAGGGCGCCCTGTACACCGGGCCCAAGTATAGAAAACCTGCATTATAAAAAGGGAAGAGTGCTGCCTACATCTGGCCCAATTTCCGCCTCATCTTTGCTATGCAAGTGCTCTATCTTGTATTTCTAGTATCTTTGTTATAAGATAGAAGTTGTTGCAACATACAATTAATTTCAGATTGATAATTTGCTTTTCACTGAATGTTAATAAAGACATTAAACTTTATCAAAATTGCATAGCAGTAAGTAAACACAGTTAATCATAAATAAAATGGATGAAATAGATCTTTTACATTTAGAATTGAGAAAATAGAAATTCTAAGCAAAAATATATAATACATTGAGAATTATAATTTTTAAAAATGTACAGGAGAATTTCCATCATCAACACTCTCATTAAACCATAACATAATTCCAATTTTAACTGCCATTTTGCAAATATTAAGATGAAAGGTAGGGGAGAATGGGTTTAGTTGGAATGCGGGGTTTGTTGAAACATTAACATTTTGGGACACTACAGGACAGATGCTACACAAAATTAATTTTGACAGCTATATATGTGCTTTGTTACTTTCAAGTAAATTTTTTTGTAATTGAAAAATTGTGCAATTATCTGAATGTTCATAGATTAGATTGAATATTTTATGAGCATTTTAGGCTACAGTAAAAAGCTACAAAATAAGGCTAACTATATACTGTATTATTGAATGCTCTGTTTAGTGAAGTATGCTTAAAGGCACCACATGTGTTAATGCGTCTAACCCAATATATTTCTTTATGGTATAAGAACATGTTCCAACTAACCCCAATACAATAATACTTTATGGTATAAATGGCAGTGATTTTATTTTCTATATTTTCCCCTGCTGAAACATGAATATACTAAATGTTATTTTGAATTTGAATTGAAATAATAGCTATTGTTCATCTGTAAAGTAATTGATAGTTTGTAGGCCTACAATTTTTACAAAGAAAAAACAAATTGAAAATCATGATGCTTATTCCATTTTTTTTTGTACGATATTTGCTTTATGTTATCAATTTAAACTGCCAGTTTTTAAACTCAAGTTTGAATTGAATTAAATCCTTTTACATTCAATTTTATTTCTTTAATATTTCGAACATTCTAATTTGAAGTCATTTTTTTATACAATGTTTTAGTATTTTATGTCTTTGGTTATGTTTGTCACTTTTCTGTTTTGTTTCATATATTGTATTTGTAAATGTTCAATGTTTGTGAATGCACCATTTCCTTGTACCACTGTTTTAAAAGTGTAAATTCAGATAAAGATTATTATTATTACATTATATCAGAAAGCCTCAAAATTACAAGTGAAATGCAAACCATGGATAGACCCACCAACATCTGTAGAAAACATTTTAAATTGATACAATAATATATACACTGTATAATTTGAAATTTGATTTGTACTATAGTTCAGAGTCGCACATTTCCAAAGAAACCCCACATTTGTGTTAATCCTAAATAAGTACTGTACTGTAAAGTATTTTACTAATGCAGCATTGTTATGTTCAATATAAATGTGTAATCGAGTTAGTTTTAAAAGTTTGCAATGTAAAGGCTTTACTAACCCAACACTATGTTTCAACCAACATCATGCCATGTTTCAACTAACCCCATATGTGGGGTAAGATGGAACACTTGAGGGGGTGTGTTCCTATGACAATTATACAAGTAATCATCAACAAATCTAAATTTTGTTTGGATGTATCTATGACAGATATGTATGTGCTTCTACTGATGTAGTTATCATTTCTTGGATATACAGTTATATAATTATATGGGCATTTTTGTAAATTTTGTTCCAACTAACTCCACTCTCCACTATGGTGAAACAAGAAACAGCAACAGTTGTTATTACTTCAAGTAAAAAAACTTAGTTAAAGTTGAGGTAAAACAAGGCATCTGTTTACCGACCACGTGGCCTTGTTGATTGTGCGCATTACGCTTCGATATATAGTAGTTCACTCTAGTCAGGACATCCAGTAGATGCTCCGTGTCAAATGTAGTCTTCAGCTCCACACACATGTAATGGAACAGCCAGGCACCCTGATCTTCGTTACGCCAGCCTTTGGCACCTGCAAGGTCAATTACGGGTGAGCGTAACAAATATAACTGCATTGTTTTTCATTGCGAACCTACTCAGAATGAATAATCTGATTAGGGATGGGGGTATGCAGGTCATTAGGACCTTAGTGGTCCCTGCCCCGTAATCAGGATTCTCACCATGCTGGTCGAGCACGTCCAGCACTCATTTCCGACCAGTATTTGCAGGTTGCCGACCTGCAAATATAATACTATTTTTGCAATTAATAGTGGAAAAAACAATGTAGGCTAACAAACTATTATCGTTACACAACTACTAGAGTTGGGAACAGTTAATTAACAACTCAATTGACAAAAAACATGCTTGCTACATTAGATAAGATGAAAGATATCAATTAACATCTCCGTGGTAACATTATTTGGAACCCTATTACTAGGTGTAGGCTTAGTATTGTTGCTTTTTATTGAGCAACACACGGTCGAATAGACGGCAAACCAACACACATGGGGGAACCTCGAATTGAGTTTGCGACTCAACCATGCACGGAGGTTTGACGTTCGTAAGTAAGTGTTACATTATAATTTCACTGTTTGTTAATAAACGTAATTTAAGTTGGTATGTATTTCAATCCCTTTAGAGCTCTAGTACCTTCATTAATTGTGCATTTTTTTTTAAACTCCTCAAGACACTTTTTTCCTAATCCTTAATGTTTTAATTGTCTTATTTCATATGTGCTTCAATTGTATGATAATGTAAATTTATTAAAAAAATCTATATTTCTACAGTGCTTTGGTCTCTTGAAAAAGCACTCTATAAATCCAAATAATAATTGCTGCAAGTCACCAGATGAGCAGCGACACTAATTTTGATGTATGCCAGTAAAAATCTCGATTTTTTCCAGGACTCGAGATGAATTTTCCGGAGAGTGTCGTCGGATCGTTTTAGGTTTTCAGCCCGAAAGCACGATAAAATTTGAGTGCTTTTCGGAGCCTTTTCGAGATCCACATGGTACTGGCAGTGTGGTTTTTAATCGACGTCATTGTCAGTTTAGAGTTTGACGGTGTCGGATGTGTTCGATCAGAGTTAGAATTGAATCGGTAAGTATTCCATTTTCAAACATTTATGTCAAGTCTCAATAATTCCTTAATGCTAGGCTTAGAAGTGTTCATTAAGGTCACGATAATTTTAGTGATGTTTAGATCAGTGTGATTGTGTCCTATTTGTTAGATTTTTAGTGCAGCTATGATTGTGCTTTTTTATAATTTAATTAGGCCTAGGCCGAACATCATATTTGGAAGTAGGTGTACATTGATCTCCATATATCTTACTAATAAATCAACATCTAATAAAATATCTCATAAAATAATAGTAATTGATAATTATATTGAATATATGTTAGTAAAACAACTTTTATGTGTGAATTTGGTAACAAATATTGTGCTTCAATCTTATGTTAATTTACACATGTACTTTTGTTTGCAGGTTGTTGGTGGTTGCACATGTATAAGGAGCCTACAAGCTATCACATATTTACGATGACCTTCTACACCAACCCAGGGAACAGAGGAAACCGCAGAAAAGACCTCAAATACCAACAGAGGGTGCACATCATCGGATGACATCGGCCGATGACGAAATGATCTGAGATTAGGTCATTTACCTGATGAAGATACTATTTCGAAACCGGATTAAATACTGTAGTATTTAAACAATTTTAAATATTAAAAAGTATATTGCTGATAAAGCATTTATTTAAATACTGAAGAGCATATTATGGATAAAGCATTTATTTAAAAAATGAAAAGCATATTGTAGATAAAGCATTATTTTATTTAAAGATTTTGATACTAAGAAGCACAATATGCATAAACCATTTTTTTTTAACAGGTTTATTTTCTCTGAGGAATGTTCTTCATTTAGCCACTTTTTTTAAAACAGTTTGAAATATTGAGAAAATATTAAAAAGTTTTTAATACTTTTTTGTTAAAACAGATTTAAATAGTGTGAAGGCTATTGTGGATAACACTTTTTTTACATATTTAAATACTGTGAAGCCTATTGTGGATAACAATAAAACAAGATTGACTACTAACATGTCTATTAGTATATTATTATGTTGCTTTGTAGCATTGTAAACAACATTTTTTAAACCCATTCTTATAAGTCACCAAATCATACATTTCTACCAACCTTTAATACTAAAACTAAAAATCAATACACCCTTTGATGTACTGAAGTATCTATTAGTATTTACATGAATTGCATACTCACAGCATTTTACTTTCTATTAGAAACTGCTAGTAATAATAATTAATAATTTCAGTTTGTATTTGATTTATTTTTACTATATAGAATATTAGTTCTATATAGAGGGGCATACCCTCTCTATATCCACCACTGGTTTCTCCAATAACCTTACCTCTACTAGTGTCATGTATAACCACCATGTCTGCATTCCCTGGGATTGTGAGAGAACCAGGATTTTGTGCATCATAAAAACTGACCACGCTGCTGCTGTCATCTGCACTCTCTGTTAAACTCCTACAGGCCTGGAATATTAGTACCTTGGGCTTACCTACAAGTATCAATTCAGAAGTGCATAAAAGGAATACATATTAAAAAAAGGAAAAACATTTGAGAACATTATTATGTATCATCATATATTATGTAAACCACAAATGCAGGGGCGGATCTAGAGATGTCCGAAAGGGGGGGGGGCCCAAAAAAGTGGGTACAATCGAGATAACAACACCATAGGGGTCCGGGGCATTTCCCAGCGAAATTTTTGCTTTCTAGGTGCCCGAAAATAACCTCTGGAGCATTTTGGACGATTTTTTTTTCTTTTTCTTTCTTTTTTTTTTTTTCTTTCCAAAAGGGACCTAAATCCACCCCTGAAATGATAGTCAGAATTCAATTATTAAAATATAAAATCATCATTTTTCAAAAACTATATTTATAGAGGGTGACCATTCCAGCTTATCGATCAATCAATCGATCAAAATAATTATATAGCTCCTAATATCCACAAAGTGTTCAGTGGCGCTGTCACACTTGTTTAACATGCTCTTGACAAAAGGAAAGCCTTTAGAATGCTCCTGGACACATTCAAATTTGGTGAGTTTCTTAGCTGACAATCAGAAGCCTTCTCTAATAAACATAATCAAATTAATAAGATGATTCATACATTTGTCTTATCATGAGTCTTACTGTAGGTAGTGGAGATGTTTTTCAGTCATGAGAATTGAACCATGGAGGTATTAATGAGGAGATCACTTGACAAAACTCTGCGCACACAGCGCTATGCAAATATGCCGAGATCAATGCTGCCGCAGCGTGTGAAAAGACCGTTTACGCGATGCCTTTGAAGTCTAATGTGTTCCCCCCACCCCCACCAAATGCTCAGTGGGCTTTTACCAAAAAAATTGAACATGTCAAAAAGGAGTGCACTACTTACAGTCAGTCATTTTGGCTGCGCAATTGTTTCCACCTTGAAGCTACTAATACAATATCTTTTAAATTAATTCTACCAAACAAAGTTTTGAATTTAATAAAACATTTACATGAGCTTTAAAAGTATGGTATATTTTTAACTTGAATTTCAATAAATTGGATAAAACTCGATAATTTTAACTTTAACAGATATTAATTACGGAATGATTGAGGATTATAATAAACTAAGTCATTTTAGTGTGAACGTGTGTGGACTATTCGAAAATTCAATCCAAAGTCATAGTAATTTTCAATTTTACGCTGCCTTAGATTTATAGTAGAACCAATCGATCTTTAGACTAAATTATACACAAAAGTAATTGTAACAGAAATATTTTGCAAAATCTGTTCCTGGAATATACACATAATAACATACTAAAGTCCAAAAGAATCCAATCAGGGGATCAGGTTAATTTTCAAAATATATAATAAGATCAAACAGTTTATTGTACAACTGCTGTGTTAAAGCATATAGAAGCCTGTGGTTGCCATGTTGTTGCTAACGAAAAAAATGTTAATAATAGATTGACACCAGCGTGTGATCCAAAGCCAGGGAACACATTTCGTTTGATCTGTGGCCGAGTGATCTCCTTTTCAATAATACCTCCATGATTAAACCCAGGACCCTCGGATTGGAAAGCAAGCTTCTTAACCACCAAGTTAACTCTTTACTGCAATTTAAGAAATGCATTCCACTTACCAATCATAAAATTTTCAAACTTGGACACTATTTCATCAACTCGAACATAAGAGTCGTTTGCTACCAACTGAATGCCTTCCTAAAATCATTTTAAAGAAAAAATAGGTTAAAATGTAATACTCAGTTTGTAAGGTCCAAAGGTCAAACACTAGTAATTTTCACTAGGGCAAAAAAGTGTTTGAACGAATTGAATGGATGCATTTACTTCTTAAAATTTATCCATTATACTAATTTTTAAATTATTTTCAAGTTTAGTCTATAAGGAAAAACTTAACAATCTGATCCTTTTATCAAGGACTTGTAACATATATATAAGTCCTTCTTTTATACGGTTAATATCTGTTGTTGTCGTTGTCACCGCCACCACGGCAGAGTGTGGTTGACTTAAGGTACAGTACCTCTCTGTCTTGTAAACGATTTTTGATTTAAGAACATACCGAAATGACAACCGGCTTTTGGGTTTTCTTGTCTAACACATCCTGCCCATTCTTGTCTTTTAACGTTATCCCTTTGCCATGGCTTGAGATGATAAAAAAGAAACTGCTGTATGCGTGTTCGGTCTTAAATTTCACTTCATCAATGAGTTTCAACAATTTTTCAGGTGTCTGTATGTCAGGGCAGAATTCCAGCTCAAACCCCTTCTCCCAAAAGAATTGGGAAAGATTGCTTTTGTCCACTCTTACACCTTCAAAATAGAAATAATTTGCATTTTTACAACATTTATATACTGAAATTTAACTGCATACATTTTATTCTAACAAACAAAAGAATTTAACAATATTATTCCATTCACTATATTATTTTAAAGCTAAAATTAAAAATGATGATATTCTATTAATTTTTTAAATCATTTATTATTTTTAGTTCTGTAAAACTACTATCCATCAAGAAAAGCTCTGCAAAAACATTGTTTTTAATTTTATTCATACATGAATATTATACAGGATATGAATCAATCTTGCAGGAATACACTCGCGATTTGGCAGGAGCTCTTGGTAAATTTGTTTTTTGGCATATTAAATTATCATAATGTAATGTAATATCTGTTAATTTGAAAAAAGACAGATATATGTTTTAATAAAAACTTTCAAGACATGTTTGGCCAACATACACATACAGAAGAATATTCACCTACCAGGTCGAGAGCATCCATTTTTGTCAGGCACATGAAAAAAGTTGGAGACATAAAGGACATATCCCTTACCACGGGGATAACAAAATTCTGGCTGTTTGAAAGCAGAAATGCCAGGTGAGGTTGGATGGAAGAAGATACCAGTTGAGGGCTCAGGTGAAATGGGTATTGCAGACGAAGAGGGTGCGTTAACATGTGAATCATCCCCATCCACAGCTAATTTGAAATAATAAAAATAGTGTGAACATTAATGACCAATAAAATAATTGCATGTTGCGTGGAAATAGCAAAAATCAGTGATTTTTAATTGTAAAAAATATACATAATATTTTTGTTTTTTTATCAACTATTTTATAACTAAATTCTAAAGGGATTCTTAACAGCAAAATGCACTACAGTGGTACATACTGTTAATGTTAGTTGACATGAAAACAAAAAAAACTTACATTCTGCTCTAAACATAACTGCATGGCCTAAGAATGAGATAAAATATACAATATAATTAAAAAATGAGAAAAAAAGTAATACAAATAATTTAAGTTCTTACAAAATATATTTGAATAAATACTTTATAATTAATTAATTAATTAATTAATTAATTAATTAATTAATTAATTAATTAATTAATTAATTAATTAATTAATTAATTAATTAATTAATTAATTAATTAATTAATTAATTAATTAATTAATTAATTAATTAATTAATTAATTAATTAATTAATTAATTAATTAATTAATTAATTAATTAATTAATTAATTAATTAATTAATTAATTAATTAATTAATTAATTAATTAATTAATTAATTAATTAATTAATTAATTAATTAATTAATTAATTAATTAATTAATTAATTAATTAATTAATTAATTAATTAATTAATTAATTAATTAATTAATTAATTAATTAATTAATTAATTAATTAATTAATTAATTAATTAATTAATTAATTAATTAATTAATTAATTAATTAATTAATTAATTAATTAATTAATTAATTAATTAATTAATTAATTAATTAATTAATTAATTAATTAATTAATTAATTAATTAATTAATTAATTAATTAATTAATTAATTAATTAATTAATTAATTAATTAATTAATTAATTAATTAATAAAAATAGTGTGAACATTAATGACCAATAAAATAATTAATTAATTAATTAATTAATTAATTAATAAAAATAGTGTGAACATTAATGACCAATAAAATAATTAATTAATTAATTAATTAATTAATTAATTAAAATAGTGTGAACATTAATGACCAATAAAATAATTAATTAATTAATTAATTAATTAATTAAAATAGTGTGAACATTAATGACCAATAAAATAATTGCATGTTGCGTGGAAATAGCAAAAATCAGTGATTTTTAATTGTAAAAAATATACATAATATTTTTGTTTTTTATCAACTATTTTATAACTAAATTCTAAAGGGATTCTTAACAGCAAAATGCACTACAGTGGTACATACTGTTAATGTTAGTTGACATGAAAACAAAAAAAAAACTTACATTCTGCTCTAAACATAACTGCATGGCCTAGGAATGAGATAAAATATACAATATAATTAAAAAATGAGAAAAAAGTAAATACAAATAATTTTAGTTCTTACAAAATATATTTGAATAAATACTTAAAAAATATACTAGATCTACTAAGTTAGAGAATAATATAAAGCAATGCATTTCAAGTACATTTCATTTACCTATATTTTTCAATTTATCTTCGCATTTTCTGACTTCATCTACGAGATCCATGAGCTTTACTTTTTCCAATATGTCTTTAAGTTTACCATAGTTACCAACAGAAAAAATTTTTCGTTTCTGTTGTTCAGTAAATATATCCACAGCATCTTCCATTTGTTCAATTTCCCTCGCCCCGAAGCCACCATATTCTGCGGCTCTAAGACGTTTCTTTAATTCCCGAACTTTACCATCAGTAATTTCTAAAGAAATTTTGGCCAACATATCATCATGGAACTCTTGGATCTGATCTTCGATGCTTTTGTTTGGCATGGTTTACACTTTGGCTTATTGTTGTTCCTTGAAAATTAACAATAGATGTGTTTTAAAACAATTTAGTGTAAGGTACATTATAGTGAATATCATTAAAGAACTCAAATAAGCTGTAATAATGAAACATTGAATGGGAATTCTATTACAAAGGAAAAGAAATATTGAACCAACATTATTAAACACACCAGACATGCAAATCTTTTGAATGTTCAAAAGCAGAACATGATCTAAATAAAAGCAGAAAACTATGTTTAAAAGCAGGACACGTCTACTTGGAAGGAAGTGTTTGATAACCTAAATAAAGTTATATAATTAAGGTACCACCTCAACTAAAATTAAGACTTGCCATTTAACCTTTTTCACAATTTTAATGATATTGCTCTTGCAGCGTGGCTTTGGACCTTGTGTAGCAATACTGCAATAAAATCATATTAAGCGCAACAAATTTTGGATGTTGGCTCAAATTTTCTCATGCAACCTAAATTTAGGAGCATAACCTCACATCACCTTTGTGAACTTGGACATAAAAATGAAAGCATAATTTAATTCAACCAAATACATTTATTTCTGTAGAAAACAACATATTCCACATAATATGTAGCATTCATAACCGTAAGAATTTTTTAGTGACGTTTACAAGGGGTTTATTGGTAATAAATGTGGCAAAGACAAGCCAAACCAGTCACTCGTCGCAAATCCTGTTTTGGAGATAATGGCCAAAACATGCTGGAATTTCAAAATTTTGGAAATCTATTTTATTGCACTAAACTAACCTTTATATATACATCATGCTATGCTGTTATTTTCATCATTTTCAATGTTAAAACATCACTTTTTAACGATTTGGTGATGGTTTCTGCCTAAGAAATGCCTGAAATCGTAAACTTTGAAGGCTGATTTCTCAAATATTGTTCTTTAAACAGCTGTACAGTATGTTTAAACTCGTGTAACTTCATAAGGAAGTGTCGGATTTAAATGATTCTTTTACCATTTTATAGCTCCCATTTTACTGTTAAACCCTGTATTAATAAATAAAAATTGATTTTTCCGGCGAGTGACTGGTTTGGCTTATCTTTGCCACAAATACCCTTTTTAGGCTCCTATTGCAATTTGAAGGTCATGGGCACATGACCTTTGACCTAGGTCAGAAGGTCAAACAATTTTGCTATTTTTCGGAAGCCCAAAACATTTTATCCAACAATCAAAGCAATATTTGCAGAAAGTTACAGTAATAAAAATGTATTTTGGGTTATTTCCTAAACTTATTAAAAACCCCTTAGTTGGCCCCAGTTATCTATAGTAGAGAACCCAACTTATATTTTTAAGCACTTAATTTAAAGCCTCATTCCCGGCAAAATTTCACTAAAAAAGATTTATTTTAGAAAAAATGCATGCATTACTCTATTTATTATACACAATGGAAAAATATTGGCATAAATTTTATTTTTACGTACAAGAATAAAAAAAAAAGAGAAATACAGACTATTGACATAGGAGATTACCATTTTCTCTACGAATTCTTCATTACTAGGCAAATTCAGAGATTGTAGATGGCATCCGCTGGAATGCTCTCGCTTTTATGTATACTTTATACAGTCAATAATGTGCATCCTCTCTAATGAAATTGGTTCTTGTACCGTAATTCGCATCTCACACACTGTGATCAATTGAGTCGGCCTGAGATGTTTGTTTAATTGTCAAAATCTCGGTCAGAATCAATTTTTTAACAAAAAATGACCACCACACCCAAAGTGGTATCTTAAGAAGGCAAGCATAGTTATCGAAAAGAGACTTCCTTCTGATGCCTTGAAGGAAACACCATGTGAACCAACTTGTAAATATTGTATATAGCATATAGTAGTAGTGAATAAAGTACACATAGTACAAGAAACAGCATACTGTCTCCGATTTAAGCTTTACATATTAGGAGGGTGTAAAGAAGTATGGTACCTCACTGAGTGAGCAAAGTCTATCCTAGACTTGCCACAAGTCTCTAATTATAGGTTTTCCTAGTATTAGCTAATTTTGGAAACGCCAAGCAAATAGGTAATATGGAACGCCATTGGTGCCAAAATTGATTTAAAAACAAAGATTAGGGACTGGAGCCCAGTCTAAGTCTATCCCAACAAGAACAACAATACGCCCACCCAATTACATTATACACAATATGAACATATTGCAAAAAGGTTTTTCCTTATAAAAAGAACAGTTATGATGAAGGGATCAAATTTCAGAAATCTCACCTTAATCACATGTCCCGTTCATATGGAAATTAGCTTAAATATGCAAAATAGGGGACACGCCCCTTTTTTATTGGAAGTGCTACATTAACGGTAGGCTCTAGACAAACTGAACATCTTGCAAACAAGGGTTTTTCTTAATTTAATGAACACATATTATGAGGAGATACAATTTTAGAAATCACACTGGTCACATGTCCTGTTCATATGCAAATTAGATTAAAATATATGCACCAATTAGGGGCTACGCCTACTTTTATTTGAGGCACTAATAATAATAATAGTGTAGTTTTATATAGCGCACATATCCATCTAATGCAAGATGCTTAGGGCGCTTGATATGTGGACTAGGAACTCGATCAATGACTTTCTTCGCCCCTAAGGGTCCCTTCGTGCTACCCGGTACCAGCAACTCTCGTCGTTCACCACAGGGGCTGTCTCTTCCAGTACACCGGGGTATCGCCCTACTCGTCTCGAAGGATGTACTGGGTTCTATATAGTGCACACGAGCCATTGTATACACTGGGCCTACGGTTTATAGTCCTTATCCGAGAAGACTTGTTCTACCACCAGAACCATAGGCGAGCGTGCCGTTCGAAACAAGCCGATATTATGGCTATAGCTTGCGGTGCCCCTGCTAACCGCTCGGCCATTGATGTTAGTCATTCTTCTATTCAAACAGAGTAAATGTAGTCTATACTTGTTCCCAGACACATTAAATTGTAGGATGAAACATTGATTCTGTCATTATTTTCGTGTCAAGGTGTCTTAACAAAATACAGTCAGCTCCAATATCAACAAAAACACAAGAATTTTTTTTTGCTGGCCTAATAACTCCCTGGTTTTCTACAACTCCAACTCTGGAACATGATGGGTAGCCTATTATTATTTCATAACAGGATTTGCCAGCATAATTTGCATTCTAGGCCTACCCTAGACAGATAAGCTTGCTACAATAATCCTGCATAACATTACATTGAATGGGTGCCTGCTAACTCGTACACACTTTGACGAACTCGTACACAAATTTAGGTGAACTCGTACACATGGCTTTTGGCGAACTGGTACCCAAATGCATTTTTGATAGGGTCAATTTTTCTTAGTTTTTTGATCAGATGAGATCAAACTAGCTGCATCAATAAGGTCGTCAAAGTGACAAACTGCCAGTGGGATAGGTTTGGATGGCAGAAACATGCATTCTCAAGTAAAAATGCAGATTCTTAACAGATTTTCACTTGTAACAACCCTGGTAAAGTGGCAACTAATCCATTTTCGGGTATCTAGTAACATTAATTTATTAACAATTATTTGTATTATCTTCGTGTTATTTTCTTTTTTACAGAAACAACGCAAATGCTACTAGGTCAACTAGGTTGAGACACGTTTCTTTTTAATGTTTGTTGTGATATATTTTAACTGCAAGTTTATTATTGCTTAAATTAAATGGAGACTGAAATAAAGTAGTAAATATATTAGTTTGTCATCCTTTGTTTTCTTCTTATTCCCACTTACTATAAATGAATTACATATAAATGATGATGAATGATAATAAAGAAAATATACAGTATTTTCATATTTATATTTTCATATAAAATTATCAATATATTTATCAGTACATACTGTACATTTGAATGTCTCTTTTAGGTTTTTTTTATATTCATAAGCCCAACAAAATCACTCACTTGAGCTAAGCCTATTTCATAGTTGCAACTAGAGTAAAATTTGCTGAAACGTTCTCACCAATAGATTCCTACAGTAGGCCTACTCTGGTGAAGTATACACAATATTTGTATTTTCTTGTAATTGTTTTATTTAAATTTGCGATACATATTTTGATGTTTATAAAATACACAAATAAATGGAAATATAGTGAAATATAGTTTTAATATAATATATAAATAGGCCTACATACAAATGGCTGTTTTGGGATTCTTTTTAAAAGCTGGAAAAATTCACGAGGCCCAGTATTGCCTGTGATAGTTGCCTGGCAACTAGGCCTAAGTACAAAACAAATCGGAAAGAAACTTTCCCACAACCTAATAGGTTCTCACGGTACTCTTGAGGAAGCAAACACATTCTTTATACGCCGCCTTCAGGAATGTGGACTCATTACTACAGTCAGATGCTCAAAAATAGCTATTTTTAGGTGCAACAAGTGCGCACGATGCCAGTGTAATATGTCACGTGTGTTCGTGCACCTCTTCATATCACCACATAGTTGCCAAGGTTGACAAGCCTTTGACACTCGCACAATCTGAGCATGTTCACTACTGATTTGATTGATCTTGGACACTAAATTAAGTCAAGTGTATGTATGTAAACTTAATAAACCAAAATAATAAATAATAATGTAAACTTAATAAAACCAAAAAGTTATACTCATTTAAATTTGACCAAAGTACAGTACTGTAAACTTAGGATGAGTACCTGACAATTGCTTGGTGTAAAATTAAAACAATTTTTACGGACTCACTTTATTCATGAATCACGATGTACAGACAGTACTTTCATGTGGAAAACATTTATTTCGAAGGGGTGTTTCCAAACGGAACACCCCTTCGAAATAAATGGAACAGTCCGACCCAGGGCGCCATGTATGAACCGTCTCCCTAACAAACGTCCTCATTTCCTAGAGATCCAAAAGATCATGGAGAGGGTGGGAAGGTTATCCAGGTAAGTATCTCACTCATGACTACCAACATCACGATGATTTTTGTAGTCTATTTCGTGAATACTTACCTGGGTAATTATTAATAATAATATTATTGTTGTTGTTGTCACCTTTATTATTGATATTATTACCCTATTATTACTAAGTAGGCCTAGTCTTATAAGTATCATCATTATTATTATTACTAATTAGTATTACAATTATTATAAAAATAAACAAGTAAATATTTGAAAAGGAAGTGTCACCGACATATCACCGGTTATTCACATCACTGGATGCATCCTTGTCACTGACGGGTTTCAAACATAGCCCCCTGTGGTCGAACAAATATGAAGGACTGAAGTGAAATGTCTGTTACTCAACAATACCAATTGTTCCTATTGTGGATAATTGAAAGCCTACTAGATGCTATGCGCCCCACCTAATTTTAACGTAGGCCTAATTCTTGGGCGTGGTTCTAAAGAAAATAGTATCAAAATGCACGCCATCGTGCATTCATTTGATTTTAGTCAGATTCAAAATAAAATTTTAACATTTAAAGGGGGGGTGCGGGGATGAAATAATTAATTTTTAATTTAAAATAGAGGGATGGGCGACCACAACGACGGTGACGGCACTCGATTTTGGAGCGCGGTATTCGAAAACGAGGCTCGTGAACTGGGTCCCAAAAAAAAACTGGTGCTACAGGATTTTGAGCTAGTGTTATAAGAT